CTTGAAAGGTGGTCCTTGTATCACCACAAGGGATTCTACCTGTCTCATGCTATTCGGGTCAGAGCGTAAATTAGTAATTCTTTCAATTACTAGATTTTCGCCATTTAGGGCGTAGCATTCGTGTTTGAGATTTTGACTCTGGTTGAGAAATTCGAAATGTGCATACTCGATTTGGGACAAGAATATAAGCACACAAGCAATACTTGAATTTTCATCCACTTTTTATCATTTTTTATTGTAAAATTAAGGCATTTCTTAAGTTCATTTATAAAACGTGGTTCCATGTTAGTAGTATATTTCTTGAGCCAGGCCCATAACATATGCAAGCCCAATTCTCACACCAGGCCCCAAATGGAAAAGTTCTTCTTCGGTACCTCAATTTCCACAGAGATACTATTGAGCACTTCATTTATAATCTAAAAAAATTAGGCCACGTTTGGCACACCTGATTAAGCCGTATAAGGAATTTCGTATAAGCTTATAATGGATGGTAATAAGTAGATGGTATTATGATGGATAATATTTCATTCAAAATGTTTTTATTTACTATCTTCCTTATCTGGTTTAAACTCATCTTCGAGTTCCATATTATATTGTACGGTTGGTATTGCAAACGATTATCTTTTGAATGAAAAATTAAAGAATACTACTCACTTTAATCCACCATTTTACTACCTACTTATTACTATCCATTATAATTTTAAACTTAATTCCTTATAACTGACTTATACAATGTGCCAAACATATCCCAATTTTTTTTTAATCTTTAATACGTTCGTTTTTTTATGTGCAAGCTAAATTTCTTTACGAAAAAAATTACGGAAATTCTTCGCCTTGGCTGTTAATTTAGCATGTTTGTCAGTTAAAAAGCTTGCTTATAAATAAATATATTAGTTTTGTAATAAATATTTTTGTATTGACATAAACTTAAAATAAGTTACTCATTTTGATAGCATGGTAATAAGTTACTTATTGGAGCAACCGGAACACCCCACACGTCATCGTTGCCGTGGAGGTAAATTTTGTGATTATTTCAAAACTCATCTTCAAGTTCCATATTATATTGTACCGTTGATATTGCAAACGATTATCTTTTGAATGAAAAATTAAAGAATACTACTCACTTTAATCCACCATATTACTACCTACTTATTACTATCCATTATAATTTTAAACTTAATTCCTTACAACTGACTTATACAATGTGCCAAACATATCCCAATTTTTTTTTTTATCTTTAATACGTTCGTTTTTTTTTGTGCAAGCTAAATTTCTTTACGAAAAAAAATTAAGGAAATTCTTGGCCTTGGCTGTTAATTTTAGCATGTTTGTCAGTTAAAAAGCTTGCTTATAAATAAATATATTAGTTTTGTAATAAATATTTTTGTATTGACATAAACTTAAAATAAGTTACTCATTTTGATAGCATGGTAATAAGTTACTCATTATTAAATAATTTTGTGAACTTTCCACATGAAATAAATATGGAAATATAAGATTACTAGTTATACTAAAGCATATCTTTCCAAGAAATAATTCACAATATGTGGTCATGGCATCATTTGAAATTTGAAAGAGTTACATAAATATATGTGTTTTATTGTATTCTCAGAACATCATGGTACTTAATATTGGACACGACAATACAATACAATACCCAATAAGCAAATTTAGTGTAGTCTACTTTAGAAAACATATAATCAAGATTTTTCCAAGTTGATGGGGATAACTCAAGATCAGAAGCATGTCTAAGGCCTTTTCTTAACACTGTCTAGAGTGATTGAGTTGAGCATATCATGTGCACACAGCTTTCAACATGTCACAAACTGCCCCATTAGCTCCTTACTTAATCCATTTTCAATAACAAGTACAAAGAAAAAATGGACCCACATAGCTTAACTTTGTCATTCTTTCATAAGAAAATATCAACAAATGTCCATAACCTATCGACATCGTCTTAAACAGTCAAAGTGGTGGCTTAGACAAAAACTGTTGACATCAATTTCAGCCGGAGATTCACGTCAATAGAACGAGCACAAAACCCTAGTCAACTCTTCTATAAGAAAACGTTAGGTGATTGCTGGAAGAGGCTGGCCATTCTAAGTGATTTAGAGTACAATAAACATGAAAGATCAGGGACTAAATTACACCACATTGTAAGTTGAGGACCTATACTGCTATTTTCCTTCTATATCACACTTCAACTAGGGGGAAGTGAGGCAATATGAAAAGTAAAAGAAAAGGATCATATGCTGGAATAGAAAAGAGCCAAGGTTTTGTTTCTTTATCTTATTCAGTAATTTGTTGTGTTAGATTAAGACAAAGGAATCCAGTTTTTTAGAACACTAAAACTCACGAGAAAAAGTATCCAACACCATGGCCCAAATTAAGCCGACAAACGGAACAATTCCATTTTCCATGTCCACTTACTAAGAATATTATTTTGTTTCTACTCTTAGAGCACGAACTACTCGGTGCTCTCGATCACTTAAGAATTGATACTTGTATTAAATAATTGAGGCTCACTCATTAATTTGAATCCAAACATAGAAATACTAAAAAAATTGTTATTAGAATTTGTTGGACACAATGTATTTTATTTTTTTGTTGATGTAGGAACCCGCAATCGTTACTCGCTAGCGGAGCCCCGACCACTATGAGTGCGCACTAGGTAAACTCAACTCCATGTGCAGTAGCCTGCAAACCACACAGGAGAGGTAAATCGCACTAGACAAATCCGGTGCGACGAGTTTGACCGAGGAAGTGTTGGCAGGAGATGTGAACTCGTGTCCTTTGATTTTCGCGTTCACATGCTCCACCAACTCGACCACCTCGAAAGGGGATTCAATGTATTGCTTCCACAGTAGATGTGTCAAAGGTCCCAATCCAACATGTCCTGTCCTACCTTTGCTAGAGGTGCTAATTTCATGTTTAAATAGAATTAATTGAGTAGTTCGATCCATTTTACACCTATTTCTCACACATACACAAAAAAAAAAAATAAATAAATAAAACTCAATGGTCTTATGTGAATATTTGCATCCATCATTGGTTAGTTTACATCTACGTAGGATCCCATTCTCAAGTTTTGACCAAATCATATCAGGGACTATATATTGAATGTAATTCCCAATTCAACAGACGTACTAAAATCATTTCTTTTCATAGTAATTAGGGCTGAATCGGTCAAAAATATATAATTTTTACTTGATAATTAAAGGGAAATTTGTTGCGGATGTCCCTCAACTTTTAAAAATGTGCAGTGCAATTACTGTACATTTTGAAAGGTTTGAAATGTAACTGCTACAATTTAAAGGTTTGAGATCACGTGCGCTGAACCTCCAATGCAAAATTCCCTAATTAAAAGCAATACTTCTATTCCAAGGCTTTCTTTTAATAAAATTCTATTCTAAATAGTTTTAATCTCTTAAATCGACAGCCCAATCGTTACTCTTAGTTTTACTATGTATCGTTCACTTGTATTAGAATAATGACTTCATAGGACTTATTTAACGTTTAATCACCTGTTTTTTTCCTGTTCTTTTTCACTTTTCACTGAAGTATAGATCAATTCCTACCGTTCAATTAGGCCAAAAGGTGGAAAAAAACTGTCAAAAAGTTTGGTTCTTTTTGCAATTTGGTCCACTTTCTGTAAAAGTTAAAGCGCAATTGGGTCCCCAAAGCTATACAACTTTATCGTAATTGGTTTAATTAGTAATTACTACACACACACGGGTGCCCCTCCTCTCTAAAATCATTCACCCCACGTTGTCAAATGATACCACCATTTTCTTTTCAATTATTCTATATTCTATCTTCTCTTTGATATCAAATCCTTGTACAGATTTAGGCAAATTTGTGTAAATTTTTTTTTTTAAAAGGAAAGGGGCGTTCTGAAATTATTAGAAATCTCAGGGAGATATTTGTAATTTTAACAAAATTTTAACTTTGGAAAATTGTATAATATATTGTAAAAAGGATGATTATGCTCACATGGCCATCGTGAAAACGTACCTCACTTCATATGTCAAATTATTACGAAGCAAAATCTAAATCATAAACTTGAACATATGAGTTAACCTGGCAATTTGAATGTAGACTTGAATAATTTTCTTGATTCGGAACTGTGAATGAAAAGTTAAAAATCAATTAGTCGCGACTGAGACAATAACTTGAAAACAAATGGTTCAACATTTTCAAATGATAGTTCATGTATTTTTCATTTGAAGGTTGGCTAGAGATCTCGGAATCTCCATTGCATTGTCCATGTATGTCTTATTTCATAAATTAAACGTATAGTATTGAACATTATGAACTACGTACTTTCTTGTTAGAAACAACTTATTCAAATTGGGAGTTTAATTAATCTGTATCGTCTATATGCATAATGCTAATTGGGAGGGGCCGGAGGAGCGTAAACTTTAAACCTTCTTAAGTTAGGTTAATAGCATGAAATGTAGTTTGAGAACATTTCATCTACATTAACTTAATGAATTCAAATCTAGATTAATGATTTCTTGGTTGTTGCATCTCTAAACCTTTCTTTCTTTACACCCTAATTACACATAGATTTTGAAATAAAGTGATGCAATCATCATTCTCTTTCTTATCAAGTTAAGAATTTTTACTATTATAAATCCCTCTAATTATATCCAAAGGCAAAGAATAATTCTTTGCTTCTAAATAACAAAATTGAAAAATATTATTCCTAAATGTACAAAATGATAAGTTGAAGCACCAAAGAGTAATTCTCACACCTCGGTCCGACCCACACGTTGATTCAAGTTCAATTTTTTGCTTCGATTTAAGTGGTTCCAAATAAAAGTGTCGAACCATACTTTTGAAATCAAACCACAAAGATGTAACAAAAATTACAACATCTTCAACTCTAATTGTATCTGTATCAACTAGGATCTACTCATAATTAACAACGTTGTACATATCGTACCTGATTTTATTTACACAAATCTATTCAAAAATAAAAAAGAGCAAAAATTACTTCAGAACTCCGTGAATGAAACGCTACGTTCTTCAGGCTCGTCAAGTGACGATCGTAACGGGGACGGCAGAACCTTCAACTTCTGAAAGTATTCGGCTATATCAATTCCACCTTTTCCCAACTTCTCCGTTATCTCCGTCTCATCTCTTGACGGAAGAAACGGCGGCCGTAAAACTTCCGTCAACAAGTCCCACTTCAACCCGCGAAAGAATTCATGCTCCTTAATCTCAGCCGCGCCTCTTCGGTATCCCAAACGGCGCGTGGGGTCTTTCTCCAGCAACTTTCCGATCAAATCAGTTAATGGATCGGGTTTTCCGACGAACTCCGGCTGCAACGCTAATATTTTGTAGAAAGTTTCCTTCCTATTATTTCCCTTAAACGGTGTCCTCCCATACAGCATTTCGTAACAAAGCACTCCAAGAGCCCACCAATCCACTGCAAATTCATGGCCGGCTCCAGTTATAATTTCTGGCGCCATGTATTCTTCGGTGCCGACGAAAGAATTTGAACGCTCATTGTTTGGAAATTCAATCGGGTTTCTTCTGCTTACAGGCGACACACGTGCACTTTTCGCTTTCTTCAATCCTTTCTTGGTATTGTTGAAACCCTTCTTTTTCAATAGAGGTTCCTCCTCATAATCGGAAAAAAAATGCAGGGCAGATGCTTTTCTGGGTGTTAAGGTACGTGATAGGTCGAAATCCGTGAGTGTGACGTGACCAGATTGCTGTATAAGGATGTTTTCCGGCTTGAGGTCCCTGTAAACAATGCCTTGCTGGTGAAGATGTTCAAGAGCACAAATGATTTCAGCTAAATAGAAACGAATAACGGCCGGTGAGAAAACGTGGTCCGCTTGCTGGTAACGGAGGACGTTAAGGTCACCTCCGGGACAGTATGGTATGGCCCAACAAATGATTTCTTGATTTTCCGATGATCCGAGTAGGGAAGGGAGGAAAGGATGATTTTGAAGGCGGCTGAGGACGGAGATTTCGTGGTGGGCGCGGTGGAGGGAGGATTTCTCCACCACCTTGAGGGCGAAGGATTCATGTGAGTTGTGATGAACAAGAAAGACAGTGCCTAAGGCACCTTTGCCTAGTAGTTTGATGGCTCTTAGGTTATTCAGGTCTAACGCCGGCGGTGGTTTTGTAGTGCTATCCATTGTATTTTGGAGAGAGAAGAGTACAGAATCTATACATACATAGGAGGAGAGAAGATATATATACACTCAAGTTGAGCGGGATAGAGGGGTGGGTGGGCCAGGGGGGGTGGTTGTGTTTGGATTGTAAGCTATTTTTGTTTGTTTACACAAGTATCCCCGAAATAACTGTTCTTTCTTCCTTTTAGTAGGGTGTCCTTTAGCGCCGTGGAAGAACATTGTGAATGTTAGGATGCGTGGGATAAATTCTTTTTGGCCATCGTGAAAGTTTGTATCGACTAGTGATTTTGAGCCACGTGATGACCTAAGTTCGAGAAGTGATTGCATGATTTATATCTTTAAATTTTTCTTTTACTTTGTAATCTTAATCTCTTGATAACATAAGTTCTTACGTCCTCATATATTTTTAAAACGGAGGTCACGTCTAACCCTTCTAGTGCAGTTGTCATTTTCCTTATCGTTATAAATAAAATTCAGGATCATGCTACAAGTACATAATCATTTACATAATACATTACATAATTGACATGTGGCGCACATCCATCGATAGTCTACAATTTTTTACTTTTCCACACTTCACATTCACGACTGGATTTCTTCCACATGGACATATATAATCAATTATGTACAATAATTATGTACATATATATTTATCCATAAAATACATCCCCATGTGTGAATTTAACTATTATTTTTATATATAAAAGGGTTGTTCGTTAGGGACCTACGTGCAAAGTATCAATAAAGTAATGACTCTAACTGTAAATTTTCTCTACCTTTTTTCTTATCTTATGACAAAGAATATGGTTATGTAAAAAATAGTCAATTTTCTACAATAAGAAAGAGTAAAAGTATATTCATGAAATTTTTTATCAACAATATTTTTTTTAAAATAAAAATTGAAACAACTTTTCTTTCTTTCCTTTATTATTACTTTTTGTTAAAAATACTTATTATAATTTTATACTAATAAAAAATATTCATTTTAAAACGTACATTTTTTTTATTTACCTAATTTTTTTAAGCTTAGACAAACAAGCTCGTGTACCTATCTCGTAAATAGATTAATATCGATTTTGTTATACCGAACTTAAGAAAATAAGATAAGAGATCCAATAAATAACAATATTTACAAAAAATGATCCGTGTACATCGACCCAAGTCAAAGGATTGAATCGTGATCGAATCGATATTTAATTATATGTAGTTAAGGTTCCTTCCCTCACAATTAAAAACCTAACCCGTGTCGTCCAATCATCAATTCCTTTTGAAACACACAATTGAAAGAAATGAATTATTGGAAAATCTGTTTCATGTAGCATGCCAGGTAAATTATACAATATTTTTTTTTAAATAAAAAATTGAAACAACTTTTCTTTCTTTCCTTTATTTTTTTTGTTAAAAATACTTATTATAATTTTATACTAATAAAAAATATTCATTTTAAAAC